CCCGGAGCGGGCCGAGTGCGGCGCCCGAGGGGCCGCGGCGCCCAGTGCAGGTTTCTTGCGCTCAGGTTCTCTTAATGGAGTGTGTTCTGTCCTCTCAATTTGTTTTCCTTTTTGAAAGGAATCTAAAGATTTGTCCGCACCAAGGGGGTTCCTCGGTAAAATTGCAGTCTTACAATAGAGTGGGGATATTGTTGTCTGTAGAGAAAGGGCAACGAGGTAAGGAAGAAGGACCAGTGCCATTCCCGAGGGACAGGTAGAATATTTTTGGATTGGGAAACCTCCATTCTTTCTATAGTCATCGCCTGTTGATTTCTTTCAGGACCATTTTACAAAATTTTCCTGCCTTTTACTTGAATTTGGGATCCAGGAGAGTGGAAGCCTTTCATTCTGGGGGTTCCTGGAGCTCTGCTCTTTGCAACAGTTGGATCAGATACAGTCCAGCAAGCCTCCTAGGGAGTTTGAGTTCGGTTCAAGTCCAGTATTTGTGGGAAATTTAGCAGTAGAGTTCTTGAATCTATAGACTTCTGAAGGTATACGACTTTTCAAACTGTTGTTAACTTTTTTCCCTTCCATTTAATTGCGTGTATTCTGAAAGTCTTAGGAGCGGATGGTAAAAGCTGACTTAATGGGTTTCACATTTTATTTAAGTTTAAAGGTGGAGAATGGCTTATAAGTGATGGAACTGCAAATGTTGGGCATCCTGTTGAGTTTTCACCAAATTCCTGTCAAACATTAAATGCCTCAGTGTAAGTGTCTTGTGTGGGGTTGCGAAGCTATGTCCCAAATCATTCCGTTGTCTCTAATTTGTATCAGTGTACGTAAAAGCCTGGTAGCTGTCAAGGCTTATGCAATCAATTCGTTAATTTATAATCTTGTTACATTGCTTTCCAGATTTATAAAATCATTCCCTTAAGGAAATCTGTCTTCAACGTCTGCTTAAGTATTTCTCTTGGAATTTGACTGCTGAAGAGGAATGTACTGTACAAGTGATGACTGAAACTTACTAATTAGACAACTTTCTTTAAAAAAAAAAAAAAGGATTCTTTTATCCGAATATCTATAATTGCCCCTGTGAGGAAAACATGTGACATTCCCATTTTAGAGAACTAGAAATGAGAGATATTACATGACATTCTTAAGGTCACATGAGGTGGTATATAAATTGGTAGTTAAGTTTACAGTTCTAACTTTCTTAACACTGTCTTCAAGACTTTCTGGGCATGGACTCCTTTAACCTTTGGCTTTGAGTGCCACCTTTCTAGTTTTTTAATATGTGTAATCAGTTTTTATTATTTTATTTGTGTATAAAAATTACTCTAACCCTATTTGTTATGATTCTGAGTAAATTTTTTCAGTATTACTTCAGTAAGATCCATTGGTTCAAAACATACTGGAACTCGGAAGTTATTTTTGTTTTTCAAGACCAGAAATATGGATTGGCCTTTTATGACTCAAATTTGGACTCCTAATTCTAAAAGGAAGGCTTTTAAGTCTTTGTTAATATAGAAAGATGCCCAGGTGGCACAGTGGTTAAGTGCTTGGTTGCTAACTGAAAGGCCAGTGGTTCAAACCCATCAGCTGCCCATGGGAGAAAGATTTCGCATTCTGCTTCCTTAAAGATTACAACCTTGGAAACCCTGTGGGGTAGTTCTGCCCTGTCCTGTAGGTTGGAATCAACTTGATGGCAATGGGTTTGGTTTTTGTTTTGTTAAAATTGAAGGGCTTTCATATTTTTACTGGTCATAGGAAATACTTTGGCTGTTTCCCTCATAGAGAAAGTGAAACTAAATAGAAAACAGTTATTTGCTTTTGGAGGTAATGAGCAACCATGGCTCTAAGCATTGGTATAAATAAAGCATGATTTCTTCCCTATAGCAGCTATCTGAACCTAAGAGATTATTGTGCCCCTCAGGAATAAAAGGGTACATGGGTGACCAGAATTTTAGGAATTCAAAACATAGTTGAGGAACTGTAAAACCTTAGTTTACTGCCTCACAGCTGTTTGCTTTTCAACTAAAGGAGTTTGGCATGCATGTATAGGTAAATTCTTCAGGCAGTTTAGGTAGAAAAGTTGCATGGATTCTAGAAGTTTTAAAGATACACTTAACTTTTGATCATTTATTTATGGAAACTTTGTGTGTGTAATGCCTAAGGCATTTGACTGCTAACCAGAAGGCTGGTGGTTCAAACCCATCAGCCACTCCTCAGAAGCAAGATGAGGCCATCTACTTCCGTAGTTGCCTCGGAAACCCAAGGAGGGGTTGCTGTGAGTCGGATTGGACTTGATGGCAGTGAGTTTGGTTTGGTTTTTTGATTTTGTGTGTCTTGTATTTGGGGTGCTGGGTAGGACCTCTGGTGTAGTGCCTAAGGCATTTACTGCTAACAAGAAGGCTGGCGGTTCCAACCCACCAGCCACTCCTCGGAAGGAATATTGGGCAATCTATAGAGATACAGCCTCAGAAACCCAAGGAGGGGTTGCTATGAATCGAATTAACTCTCCAGCACTGAGTTTGGTTTTTTTGGGGGGTGGGGGTATAATTAGAGGGTAAAGAGCCCTGGTGGCACAGTGGTTAAACACTTGACTGTTAACCAGAGGTCAGTGATTTGAACCCACCAGCCATTCTGCAGGAGAAAGATATGCAGCCTTGGAAAGATTTACAGCCTTGGAAATTTATAGGGCACTTTCACTCTATTCTGTACAGTAGCTATGAGTTGGAATCTACTGGACAGCAGTGAGTTTTTTTTGTGTGTGTTAGAGGGTAGTAATAGAAAAGTGTATTAAAAAATAGTTCTTGCCTTTAGGAGTTTATAGATTATTGTGGGGGTGATATATAAGGGTGTTGGCTATTGGTAGAAACCTAGGTAAATAGTAATAGTGTAGTCAGATGACTACTGTGGTGAGGCATAGGCAGAACCCTGAGGACGCACAGAGATGGGGGCAATAAACAATCTGACTTGGGAATGAATGCTTTGTAGAGGTGGTGGTGGTTGAGCTCATCTTGAAGGATGGGTAGAATTCCCAGGCTGAGAAAAGGGGAAAAGGTTCAGAGGGTCCAGGAAGGATCCGAAGACAAGGCCATATGATGATGGGGGAAGAGCTTAGATCCAAGTGAGTGAAAGGAACTTGGAGTAGAGACAGTGTTTAATAGAGTTTGCAAAGGAAGGGGAAGAAGTGGGGACGTTATTTTTGGGGGTGAGAAGAGGGAAGGTTTTGGGTGTTTTGTTTTAGTTTGGGAAGACCTAGAATAAAATCTCCTAAGCTTAATGACGTAGTGAGTAACTGTGGGCATTGGAAATGTGTTATCTGCTCTGGATGATCTTACATTATTCGCCCTGTGGATCATCTTCTCATTGCTTTTCTGCATATCTGCTTTGGGTTGTGGCCTTATGTCCCATGGGAAACCAGTTCTTGCCGTAGGGGAGGACTCTGTCTAAAGAGGATTCCTTTTCTGCCCTCCCTGAACATTTATTCTCTGCTGTCACTTCCAGAGCCTTCAGAGATTCTGCTTTGGCACCTCCAGCATTTGGCCTCTGTTCAGGTAGGCTCTTTCATAAAAAAATCAGGCCCCTTTTTCCTCTCCTTGTGTTGTTGTGCTACTGAGTCTGTGGCCATGTGGCTACTCAGCAGTTATTTCAAAGTTGGAGGGCATTATCTGCCAGTGTGACCTGATGTTTTCAGTTCTGGAGCATCTTTTTTAAAAAAAAAAAACCAAACCCACTGCCGCGGAGTCAGATCCAACTCATAGCAACCCCTCCTTGGGTTTCCGAGGTGGTATCATTACAGAAGTAGATTGCCCAACCTTCCTTCTGAGGCGTGGCTGGTGGGTTTGAACTGCGAGCCTTCTGGTTAGCAGTCACATGCTTTAGGCACGTTCCTTTAGGCTCAAAGAGAAGAGTAAATTTTCATGCAAGATTGGGTCAGTCTGTATATCTAAACACATGCCCCCTTGAGGACATGCTTGCTTGGATTATTTGATGTAGGTTATGAAGTCAACACTCATACATGTGACTGTGGTCAAATCACAGTTTACAGGACCTCAGTTTCTCAGTTGCTGACTTGCAGTTATCTTTCTCACGCTATGAAGAATGTCAGCTCATTGAAGGCAGGGACCACATCTTTGATCTCTGTGTCTCCAGTCCCGAGTAATACTTGATGCACAGTCTGTGTTCCCAAGAAGTGCCTCGGAACTTCAAAAATCTAATCTTTAGTTTGTGAACTTCACCAGCCTATTAATAGAAGCCATACCTATTTTAATACAGCGGGGTTGGGTTTTAAATACTTTTCAGTGATAGAATTTTAGAACCGGAAGCAAATCTTCCATTTATACTACTGCATAGTATATGTTCAGGAAAATGTTTGTACCTGTCCTGTATTCCTGGCATGCGTGAATGCCTCTACCACTTACTTAGAGTCATCCTGGATGTCCCTCTTTCCCTTATTTCCTTTACATTGAGTTCTTCCAGAATGTGTCTCCTCAGTTACATCCTTATCACCACTGCCTTTTTTTTTTTTTTT